GTATCAGTGGCGGGTTCAGTGGCCAAGCCCGCTGTAAGCTTGGCCACACCACCACACCCATGAGTATACATATCACTATGAGCACAACCATTTAACAAATGACTATGTTGGCTTCTCACTATGGATAATCTAGTGATTGTAGTGCTATCTCATCATATATATTGAAGATGATATCTAGCAATGCACTTCCTATAATCAACAAGCTCTATTCAATTACAAATAGAATGAATATGATTGGTGTGTGTACATTGTAACACTAGTATAAAAAACCTATTTGACACATTTGTCACTATAGGCTGCCGTAGTTGGTCTATAATTATATTCGACCGTTGTTACTAGTGCGGAAACTAAATAGCTCTCGCAGGAAAAATAATATCACAGGCGTGTCTATATTTAAATAAATGCGCCGGTATCTGATTAACAACTACGCCGTAACTCACCTAGCCCATCATAGCAACAAAACGGTGGAAGAAGGGAAATATCATTGGCTCCATAGCTCTCTCACAGCCAGCGTGAGAAACGACACAAGAGATCCAAGCCACATTACCTCCTGAAATCTGATCGAATCCACCGATAATGCCGAAGCCCCTTCAAGGGTCAAACACAAACATACACCAGTAAAAGAAAAAGACGGATCAAATACGGGACCCTTCTCCCCGTCTTCCAACGTCTGAAATAATTTTTTTCCTTTGCGTGCTTAGCCTTTCAAATCCTGTCTCGGGGCCGGTGGTCTAAGCCAGCAGAAATCGGGCGCAAACATGGGGTACGGGGGCTTTGACCGTAACCTGCCCACATGCAGATTATGAAGTAGAAGTGCACTGCACCCCGTCCAACCGGGCTATCATGATAGCCAATGAGGCAAGATGGAAATTCTCAGCGAGCCTGCGCTGGAGTAAGAGGTTCAGTTGGAGGAGTAAACCGAGATGACGGTCTCAGACATAAAATCGGAAAAAAAAAAAAAAAAGTACAATTACAGATTAAATTAAAAGCCACGGAAGAAACAAAATGAAAAGCGCCCAAAACAGGAGATTTTTATATTAAGTAATAGAGAGCAAACTCGTAGCAAAAAAGAGCTTGTCACCTGCTCCTTTCCCTTCAAACATTTCAAACGTTCCACATGTCATGTTGTCATTATGATTTTGCTGGCTCGTTGCGACATGCCATCCATTGATGGTGAAATAGGCGAAATGGCAGGTAGACAGGAGGGAGTTGTTATATGCTCCTCAGCCAGCAAGGAGAAACGTATGTGATGCGCAGCCAAGCTCCTTCTCTCATCCACCCCGCCATTGCCTGGGTATTTCTATATGCTTTCTAATGTATAAAACCGCAAATAAACAGAAAAAATGAAAAACATTCAATCCAACTAAATGATGCGAGATGGATGATGAATGACAGAAAACAAGCTAGTCAGAAAACACGTAAAACAAGAGCAAGATATGCGGCGGCTCTCCAGGAGCACGATATGCTTTGAGAGTTAAGACAGCAAACTGGAAAACGAGAAAGGGAAAAAGGAAACCTGAGAGCGAAATAGCGAGACAATGCGGAAATAAGATGCATATGAGGAAGCATCCCCCGGCCGCTTTTATCCTCAGGAGTGAGGACTAGCGGTCGAACCAGTCGACGGAATAGTGACAAGAATCGTTGGTCATGGTCCATTTCGGCACACTTATAGAGCATACAGGGAAGATATTATTGGAAATGGAGATACGACGGGCGAAGTGGGCAGCGTATCTAGAGAAGGAACAGCCTGCATTCCTGGAAAAACCCGGATCGAAAAATCAATAGGGATCGAAAAATGACCGCTATTCAAGATCGCAGAATACATTAAGTCGATAGTAGGATTTGTCGGGAACTGTTCAAAGCGATAACGCACAGCGCAAATCACCCAAGCAAACTCTAGCAAGATTTCGAGCTGGGTGATGACCCTGGACGCTGGATATCCAACAGGTAACGTAGTGGCTATCTCGAGGCATCTTCCGACTCAGGGATGCCATCCTAACTCCGCGTTGCTTCCAACCTCCAGCTCGCTCGAACATGTTGCAATCCGGAGAAACAAGACTCTAACGAAATGGCCCCTTTCCGCTGGAGTAACCGGAATCAGGCCAGTTCATTCCAGGTTTTGTGTGGGAGTTGGAATCCGTTCTCCGCGCCGAATGGACTGAGCATGCGTAGCCAACAAGAACTGTTTTCTCCTGCACTATATGGCCTCGTTGACCATAGGCCTCGCACGGGTCTACCGCATGGCGGTGATAGAGGCAGCGGCAGACCGAGTACCTTTCAACAACTTGGTAACACATTATTTTTTATTTTTATTTTTGGTAAAATCTGTCCGTGTTCTCCTGATACTTGGCAATCTGTTATGCCCAGAACGATTGTCGGTATCTAGCAATGCGCAAGGATGAATGAACAAAAGTCGCAACGATTGAAATATTGCGACGCCGCGGAAACAGTTCGACGTTCAAGCCCTCGACGGCTAATAGATGCAAATGCGGCAGAGGATTGGATATTATTTGGAAAATGGCGTAGTTACAAGTATAAATCCCTCCAACGCGATGAAAACAGCACCAAATATGCAGAACAAGGAGAATAGCTAGGAAATGATAAAAGGTATTAAAGTCTAGAACGATGTTCTACTTCAAAGAATGAATGGTATGAATGAGATGGATGACATGAAAAAATCTAATGCGTTGGAGGTGACAAACAGTGTCATATATAGTCAACTGGAAGCATATACCAAAGGCATGGAGTCGCGAGGCAGAAGCCTGGATAAGCGTTGTAATCAAGCCTAGAACTGAAAGGGGACGAAACTACCCAGGCAATTCCAAGGTTTGGATTTCGCGGACCGATCCTGCATCATGCTCCGCCCGAGGGTGAAAAATTACGGTTCAAAAGTGGACAAGAAACGGCCAACTTGGCCTCCAGCAACTGACCGTTCCTCCGGAGATGGGCAAAGAGCAATATCCTGCTAGTCATGACCTACATAGCCAAATGGAAGTGGCTGCGGACATACCCGAAAATAGCGCTCGAGCCAGCCAGGCCAGTTCATGTTGAAATTGGTTCGAATCTTGTTACCATGAGGGGTCAGAGTGCCTGCGAAAGGAGGGATGGGAATGTCACACTTCCAGCGAAATCCGTCAGGCAGCCCCTCTCGGCTGGTGCTTTTGTTAGTATCATTAGCTGGTTAACCTGTGGCTGTTCCCTGTTCGTCCACCACTAGCTCCCTGTAATAAACGTGATGCCGTTGTCAAGGAGCTACTCACGACAAATGGTAAGTGCCCAAGCGCACATAATCCTCATATGATAACTATGGCTCTGCCAAAGACGTCCCGCAGAATATCGGGTACTTCGGTATTGAGTATGGTAAGACTGAGGCTGGAGAGGTTGAGCCAAAGCGCGCAATTTGGTCACGACAGACGCTTGCTGGGGCATCCTGGGCTCTCAGCCCGACTAGTGTGATCGACGTGTCATCCGCTGCCCTGGAAATAGCAACAGCGGTAACGTTCC